AAAAAAAAAAAAAAAAAAAAACCCAGATAAAAGGGAAGTAAGTTTTTGTAAATACTTGTTCTTTTAGAATTGTTCTTTTAGAAAATACTTGACAATCTAACTTATTAAATACTTACTTGACTACAAGCTATAGTATCAATTACGTAATACAAAACAGAATATTGTTCTAACCAAGGTTTTCATTAGCAGAGATTAGTTGTAAAATGAATGAATTCATTGTCAGTTAATTCAATACCTGCTATATTGAAAATTTCCATAACATTGTAAATTCCATCAAATAAATTAATTTCTTATTCAAATAATTTTTTAAAAGAAACTCTTCATCGATAAAATATTCATCATAGTATTATACTAATCTCTACTTACATTTTTACTGTTTTTCATGTACATAAGCATTATTATTTAACTTTTAGTCGTATAATTAAATTAGCAACGCAATTACCAAGTATTTCTGTTTTTCTTTTTTTCATCATCATCTGCTAATGAAAGAGTGAATTTTGCAAGAGGCATTTTTCTTACCGTGGAAACTTTAACTCGCGTCTTTCTTACCTTAGAATTAACTCTAGAAAAATACAGTCTGTTTTTTTCTCTATCGACACACTGCTCGAACCAATCAACGAGCTTCTGAATAAAAATACAATCTACTCGTTGGCTGAGCAGTAGCTTTTAAATAGCATCTGTATAGAGTATAGAATATCTAAATTTTTTGGCTAGATCCCCGTATGAGGTTTTCCAAAAAGACGTGTAGGTAAAAAAGTAAAATGGTGCATTTATCGTTGAAAACCATTTTTTCTTCTTCTTTTTCTTTTTCTTCTTCTTTTTCTTCTTTCCTCCTTCGTGATAAATGAAGACTAACGTTCATATTAATTTATTAAGTAGTGGTAAAGTGAAGAGTTAACTGATAGTAGACATTAATTAATAGACCATAATTGGTTGTCTTTCGAATGAGGCTCACAATTGTTCATCCAAATATTTCAAACCTATCAATTTAGACTATTTTTCCTAAAAAATAATTCTTCACTCCCTTTTTTCTTGCTTTAAGTTGTGAGGATAGTCTATCTGATCATCTTCGTCTGAAAGAGCAAAGAAAAATGTCAACAGAATATAAAAGCAATCTAAATAACGAATTTATATCATTCATTTAGTTACCTTCGCCTTCGTCTTCACCTTCTACTAGTCGTAAATCACTGTCCTTCTGCTGGGGTTCTTTGTCATACTCAACACCCTCATACTGATCATCACCGGCATCAGCAATTCGTTCAGCACCAACGTCCAAACTAAAAACACATTAATCTTTAACACTGAGCTACATACAAAATAATAAAACAATTTTTTATTATTATTATTATTATTATTTTATCTATAATTAGTATTAGGTCACAAGCAAATTTAATGTATGTTTACATTAAAAAAGCTAATTTTATATGGAAGCTATTATATTAAAAAAAGGTTAAGTTAATGGACATTTTCTTCATCATAGGAAACTGAATGACCAGTAATAACAATTATTTCACAAAATACAAATGAAACATACCCAGCAAGGCGAATGTGATTCAATTCGTCCCCAATTTCTTGTACACCAGGACCAACGTTGAACCAACCGTTTCCTCTTCTGTCTGCAACTTGATCATCCGCTCTTCTGGCTGGATTGGCCGGAAATGGAGGGTCCAAGTTGCCATTTTCAGCTTCTTGCTCCTTGCTGTCGCCGTTGTTTTTCTGTTTCGGTTCTTCCCTCTTCCTGGCTATCTCGTCTTGCTTCTCCTCGTGATTTTCTACCTTCTGATCAATCATTATTGGAATAGGTGGTACGCCAACGGGAAGCTTAGCCTTCGGGGCGGGTTTCCCGATCGGGAATCCCTTGTCCATGGCCATGGATGCTGGATTGCCGCTGCTTGCTGGCGTTGAAGTCTCCAGCTTCAAAGCTGGAATCGATTTCATAGAGCTGGTCGCCACTGTGCTCTAGAAAAATAATATTACAATTTTCTTTGCCTGTTTCATTTATTTTAATAGCTAAAAGTTACGTGGATTTCATTTCTTTCCTGCAAATATTTTTGTCAACGATATTGCGATTAAATTATTTTTGTAATATTATTTGTCGTATTGCCCGTGGAATATTTCTACAGTTCGCTTAATTATATGTGGACTAGATACTGTGATTAGCTTCCACTTTATTCTTTCCATAATGCAATGTTACTTCTGGTATATATTGTATTATTTTCCCCCGCATACTCATGCACTCTAATGTAAAATAAAATAAGTAAAACGAATAACTCGTGAAGTATTTGGAATATTCAAATTCTTCGCTTCTCCAGCCTAGTTTTTCTATAAATAATAAAAAAAAGAAAGATTGATATTTTTATTAGAATATTTCTACGTGGTTCGAAAATAATTAAACAAGCAAATATTTTAGGGAGTAGTAGACTATTTCAACAAAGGTATGATGGGTCACAGAACGTGATACACTTTGCAAAATTGACTTACCTGCTCAAGGTTTTATTGGCAAGGAAGAATTGCTGTTTCTTTTTCTTCGAAGCTACGAAAGCGTGTAAATAAAAAAGGTAACGCGTAAAACATGCTTTTTTAAAAGAAAAAACCAGCTCATAGAGAAAATCACTTAAAAAGTGGAAGCCTTTGGGATATTTTTTTATTTCTCTAATTTCTGAAAGTTAGATGTTACTTCGCAATTTTACAGTGTAAAATATGGAAGTTTTCACTTTTATTCTTTGACGCGTTTGTTTCCAAAGATTGACAGGTCTGATTAAAATTAAAATAGAAATTTAAAAAAATCCGAAGCGTTAAATATCGATTAATTCGAAATCTGTGATCTAATTTCCGAAATTATAAATCGTGACATCACTTATTTAGTAATATCAGAACAGGAATATTATGGCAAAAAAAGGATGAAAACGACGTAATAGAAGTTTTTAAAAAATTAATTAAGTATTTAAATATAATTTTCCTTTTAACGGATTTATAATAATCTTTTTGAGGAGAAAATTGATTTTAAGCAATATATTGAGCATTTCCATCCTTTTTAATGACACTACTGCTTCATTTGAAAGGGAAAAACAAGGAAACTATTAAATCAAGTTCAAACCAACTCACTAAAGATTCTAATGGTCAATTATTGCTTGAATCTTTTTGAGGAAATAGAGATTTAAAAAAAAAATTTAGCAAACTAGTAACAAGGTAGCAGATCAGTTTAGTTAGGTTTGTGCGTGGGTGCCAGAAAAAATGCAAGCAGATCAAAATAATAACAATTTATTAATGCATTGATTAACACGGACATACAGGCACATTCAATACAGCTTGCAAACTACACGTAGGTGACTTCTTTAGATATTTAAGAAAAATGACGCAAAATCGTACATCTTTCCTTTGCATTAGGCTATCTCTTAACCAAGTTAACCTTTACAATATATTATACATCAATACATTGAGCAAAAAGAGCAATCTAAGTTGAGGAATACTTGCAATTGAATTCAATTAAAACAGAATACAATTCCTTGATAGCCTAATGTATTCCAATTTTCCTATAAGAATAGCTAAGTATGACGATATAAATTAAAAAAAAAATCTCAACATTTACATGATTACTAAAACATTTTTTCTTCAACGAGACTTAAACATTTGTGTTTATTGTTACATTAAGAGTCTAAAATATTGCAACTGAAATATATTAATAAAAGTAAATGTTAATACCTAATATACCGTCAGCCATTAAAAGAATAGAAATAGGATTAGATTAGTGGACATTTTGAACTGCTAAGTCAGCACAAGTATATTTATGATTGTCTAAGTTCAAGAAGGAAAAATAAATTTTCTTGATAGAACATCACAGTTTGTCCTAAAGAATGTACATATAATTTCATTGTTCATTATACTATTTCACAATATCAGAAATCAATTATTTATGCTAGCTTACAAGCAATGCTAATCTGTTGTTTATTGATTCGTTTTATCAATGCCGATTGTAAATTAATAAAAAAAATCACAATAGTACTAAATAATCTCCGTAATACTATCAATTAACAATTAGATCATCCCATCATGCAGTAGTTTTCATTCTCTCTATTTACCATATTATCATACAACCTACCCGAGACTTCGATGTTAAATTTCTTAAGCATTTTCCATAAAACGTTATAAACACATTTCATCCCAAAACATCATCTTATTTTTGATGATTCATTGGAGATATAGATAGGGAAAAAGTAGTTCTATGGATCGCTGTCAAATTTTTTGAATCAACTAGAGAAATTATCTAACTACAGCACCAAATACACACCATGCAAATTACGTGCATGTGTAAATATTACTAGGAAGAATATACTAAAAAAGATTCAGTTTCTCAGCAATCAACCATAGTACTTAAAGGCACTTATTTTCAACCCCCACAAGCCAGGAGAGTAAAATTTCTGGCTGACTATAACTATCAGCATAGCTATATAGTGCAGCAATTCATTTTATATTTTGGTGAGCATCGTATTAACGAGCAACATAATAGTTAGAACTTGCAAGAAATATTAAGTGAGTATTCATTGCTATTTTACTTGATGTTATATTAAAGATTCATCATTCGCGACCCTAGATACTGTTCTTTTTCCAAAAATTCTTTGAGCACCTTTATTTTGAAGGACATCACAACCAGAACTTAATCTAAAATACGCCCAATCATCGAGAAATTAGCTGCAAATTCATAATACCTTCACATGGAAAATAGGCAGATATATTTTTCCAAGTGTTGTCGTTAAGAAACACCAATAATACAATTACCCATACTGTTTTTAAAAGAAACAAATCTGACAAAGTGTTACAAGTCCCAATTAACTGAGTTCGTCAGACCATTCTCATAATTTGATTTAAAATACCATCCACGTTATTTTGAGCCTTTTCTAGCTTTACCTCTACTTTCTCAGAAGTCTGTTGACCATTTACTTTGTCTATTACCTCAAGATTGATCTCCGGTTTTTTATTCTGCTTCAGCCATGACACTCTAGTTTCTGGTGAATCTGTGGTATACTTTTTGTCATCTAGATTCTTGCCAATTTCGAGACCTATAGCATTTCCTGGTAAATTAGTGGAGGACTTATTGTCATTGTATTTCTCATAATTCTGTTTTGGCGGTGGAAGCACTTGTCTCAGTTTCTCGTCATCGCGATTTTCGTCTCTTTCAATCACATTATTATTCTCAATCTGAACATCATCGATTACAGATTGATCGTCCGCCTTCTTCTGACGTCTTTCTTCTAAATCGTAGGGCAGTGGTAATACTTCTGCCTTCTTTATCTCGTTCGGGCCCACTGGGACGATGTTGCCATTCTTCAGGGCGAATTGAAAGTTGTTCACCTCGTTCGCCCGTTGCTCGTTCGATTGCAAAGGATCCTCAATCATGTCCTGAGTGACAGGCGCATACAAGGGCTGCGGATTTTTATCGTCAGCTGTTGGTGGACTTACCTGTTGCTGCTGTGACTGATCAACAGGCTGCGCCGCGCTTCCTAGATCTGCGGATTTTGTCTGTGGTGCTGCTTGTGGATTCACTACACTTGGCCCAGGAGAAGTAGCTTTACGTAAAGATTTCTAAGGAAAAGAAGGAATTAAGAATTAATGATCTCTTGAAATGGATGCGATAAGAATTATGAAGATTTTTTAAAACAAAATAGATAACATAGGAAAAAACATTATACCTTGGCTTTCTCTAGCTCTTGTTTTAAATGAATCACTTCTGTCTTAAGATACTCAATGCTATTATTCTTCAACATACTATTGTACTTCTGTTCCAGTTCATTCTTCTTTGTATCTAGCTCCAAGAACTTGTTCTTCAGATCTTCCAAGGTCTTCTTCTTATCTTCCCTTGCTTGCCTGATACGACTGCGAAGTTCTCTCAGCGTGGTTTCTAATTTATTAGTATCCTCTAAGGCTTGCTGATCACGTTTCTTGCATTCTTCTTGCAAATCCTGGTGCTCTATCTGCAGTAGTTTGCAAGTTTGTTGTAGAGAATTAAATCTTTGCATTGCTTCTATGCTGTCCTTATCCCTGAGGGTCTTTTCTCTAGAGGCACGCTGCTGAAGTTCTTGTTTCACTGCTGCATTTGAGCTCTTCTCTTCAGACAAGGATTTTTCTAGTCTTACTTTGTACTCAAATATCACTGAAAAGAAAGAAGTAATATTTCAGCACACTCACTTGACAATACATGCAATACATTAGATCTGACTGAAGCAATATGTAAGGATCATTTTGTTAAACTACAATTCATATAATTTTCCAGTTTGATAAGTACTTTTTCTCTTAACCAGGTTAATTTAAAGTCTTCACGAAGTAGAGGTAGACCCATACCTTGAAGTTGAGCTGCAAGAGCCTCCTGTTGATGAGCACATTGAACATTAAGTTCTCTAAGCCTGGCCATCTCTGAGGTGGCGGCGCGGTAGAGGAACACCAAGAGAAGAACCACCACCCCGCAACCCCCGTACACGGCCAGGCGGCCACCCCGGCCCCTGCCAAGTCTAGAGCTACTCATCTCTGAAATGAAATATTACATTATTAGACAAAGTATCCATAAAATACATAAATCCATATAGTTATCAACTACATCTATATTCTTTGCTATTTCTATACTATTTTATACACTTCTTTTATTATTTCTACTTTCCTATGTCTTGTCTATTTATATTGTTTAATATCACTCTTGAATAAGTTAACAAATAGCTCTTAACTTCACTAACTGATATGATCAATGAATATATCTAGGCTACCAATCAGATCAATTGGAAATATCAGAGCCCCTATTATTTTAGCAGAATAAATGGAAACGAAGAATAGGGTCAAGGGGTGAGGCAAGGTTAAGCATCAGAGAATAATTCACGCCTTGACTAGTCCCAACGTAATGTCGAATGCAAGTGAAAGGTGATGATTGCAATTATAACTTTTATACCATGACATTCTATTGCATAATAGCTTATTTCGAAAAATATGTTAAAGAATTGAAGAATCTGATAAAAAATTCAAATCAAAGGTTGACTGCTATTAAAATAAGACTGTAATAATCAGCAAATATGATACTTTCAGGTTTCACTAAATGACACGTCATTCTAATTACAGCTACCATGCATATTTTCTCCTTGAACCATTTTCTCGACCGCCATCTTAAACCTGTCTCCTGAGAAAAACTAAGGAAAATACTTCGTGCTTAATATGCTAATTAAATAGTTACAGTACGATTAACGTGCCGATTTATAAGGTATTAACAGGATTAAAATAATTAATAATTTATATATTACATGATGACACAATTATGAAAAGTGGATTCGAAAATTTTCTTCCACTTTTCCTCCAAAGTTTCATTTCGCTACCATACTGTACAAGTGAACGATATAAGAATATTTAAATGTACAGTAAGACATAATTAAAATTCGGTATATCAAAGACAACAGAATCTAGATTAATACAGGTGGCGAAACGAAACAAATTTTTATTGCGTGTATTAATAGTGACTAAAAAAATAGTAATTTTTGAATAATCTTTTATTACTAATGACAGGTTTTACAACAAACTAAGGAATATCTTGTTCTAAACACAAAAGGATTTGTTATTACAAATTACATAATTATAATTCAGAGTGGATTATCGGGACCTTGCTTATCGTTCGAGATAATTTTCAATATACACGTATCGGCAGAAAGATATTAATTTATATATTGAGCATACACGCGTTTGCAAAACAAAGGATAAGCCAGTCGCGTGACACGCTTTCATTTCCTACATCCCAAAGAAACTACATAAAGCGGGACACACCATAGAGTAGCAGGTTACACCTAGATCATTTGTCTTCCGCTTCTTTTAATCTCACTTAATAATATATCTCGCCTCTTAAAGAACACAGTCATTGATTTGTTGAAAATCTTCATTACATATTTCCTCGTTCTATTGCTATTTCATAAATTAAAATACTGTATAGCATAATGCATGCCTGAGTTCATTCTCAATGATTTTATGTTTGCATTCATTGAAAAGTGAAAATGTTCAATAACTAAATTAGTATTTATATCGAGCTATTGAAACTTGATATAAATCTGATTGATATCTAAATTTTATATTTATCATTATACCATTAATTATATTTTTAATTATATTTTTAATTAGTGGTATAGTGATAAATATAAAACTTAGATATAAATTTAAAAAAAATTTGAAAATATAAAGATATTTTATCACCGTCAACCATGATTAATATTTTTCCATATTAATTATTTTCAGTTTGGTTATTTATTTTAATCTAGCAAGTTTAATTCTCTTTTTAATTAAAAGATGCAACATAAATTGAATTTTATTACAAGACGAAGCAGTGTAGAAGATATTTCTGGATACGTTTCACATCTTAGCTGTTTTATCCTCGGCAACTAGATACACCATATTACCTGTGGTTAAATGGCTACACTGTGGATAGATTACAAGGGCAAACGAATGGATCGAGCTCAAGATCGACTCGCACGATGAAATTATTTCAAAGTATCTCTATGAATGGTGATATTTTTCATTCTAATGCCTTACGTAATTATGCCAATTTCATTGATAATAACAACTATCGAGTATCTACCAGAAGACTATAAAATACCTACAAGAATATCAGATAACTGCACGGAGATAATAAAATGCTCATATCGCGATCATAAAACGGTTGTAACGTTACTACGCTGCCACCAGATGGCGATTATCGTGCGACTGCAAATAGCTCTATTGCAATGATTATTTTGCGTAATTACTCTGGAAAATTGCATTGTTTACTCAACGTTTGTAATTCTCCATCGAAATATGAATGAGATGCGTAGAGCAAAGTAATTCTATTATAAAGTCGATGATCAGTATTTGCTAGAGACATAACGAAATACCTAACCTCAATAGCAGATTGTACTATTAACTCTTATTGTTAGCATGCCAAGGTCATGGACGTTTCTCATCAAGAATCCTGAGAGATCCCCTGGCTTTTTCATCGTTACTATAATTATTTTCATTGTTTCTTTATTTTAACGTTACTTCTATTGATCGTGATCTAAGCACCTCTAAAATCGTAATTTTAATTATCTAACCTTCCGTGTATTAATGGTTATTAATATACTGATATACTAATTAAAATATATAATAAATTAGTAATTTTTGATTTCATATGAAGCCAGCATTTAAATGGAATTCTGTATAAGAAATAATAGATTTAATAAATCACGTATTTCTGGCTTCTAGCATATTCAGCTAATAATAACAAAGAGTTAATTTGACCGATTAATGTTTGACGACAGAAACAAAGTTGAATTTCGTTTAATGATTCAGAGTATCGCCAGGATATTTCCATTGTGTCGTTTAATTGTTCGGTTCAAATGCGAAATAATAGAAGGCTTTGAATTATGAAATTTTGTTAAATGAAATAAAATCGTTGGTTATAATACTGCGCTTTATTTGACAAGGAAGGTTATTTAATTAAAAAAATATTTGAGAATAAGCCATAAAGATATAACGAAATAGATATATTTCGTTTTTCAGGGCAAGGAACTTCTTTGTGGCAGTTTAAAAAAAATATTATCCAAAATTAGGTCAGAGGGGAATAATCGTTATATTTAAATATGAACAGATTCATAAAACTTCCTAGCCAGTTCGTGTGCACGCGGCTTAAAGTCAAATCCAGCCTTAACCTATAAATGGATTAAATCCTATATTCATTTCGCCTCAAGTCGCTCCTATACAAATTAGAAATTGCATCCGAAACATTGACGATATAGATAATTTAAATACGCGATAAAAGATAAATTTAGGTTAGGTTAAATACGATTAAAAGACTTATTCATATTATGGCTTATTAGTAGCTCGAATAAATTATTTATCCGTCGTTCAATTGGTTTCCATCATAATTGCCAGTCAATAAAATAAGATATTATTATTCATACAGTATGCAGCAGTATGTCATTAATAAATAGGCCATTATTGTCTATTTATCAGTAATCAAATGCACGATGTTTAATACATTCGAGTATACATATATAGAACCATGATATTAATAGTGTTTCAAGAATTTATATGACGTCCCACGGAATAAATTATGTATTAATTAGGGTTGACATGGGCTTCGATACTGCAGCGAAAGCTAAAGCCTGCCGTTGCCATAAATTCACAGAAGACGTAATCAGAAGGATAACCGAATTCCAGGAATATAAAAATATCTTCCAATTCAAATTGCTCGTATTTTCGTATATTTTTTAATATCTCCCGCCAATGTCTTATCTAAATCCCCTCGGTAACTTTATAGAACCGTAATCATATAATTTTCAGAATAACTTATTCCACTTCCCGTGTATAATCTAAAATTACAAAGCGATTTATCGTTCCGCCCTTTATGTCCATAACCTGTATAACGAGGCGATCCGTCCGAACTTTTTGATCGGCAGTGCGCGATGTAGGGTAACATGAGTAGAGGCAAACGTCTGAAATTGGACACCGGTAATTACGATAGTTTGCTTTTATCGCTGCACTTGGCCGGCTCTGCGTGAACGGAAATTACATCCGTCTCGCATGGCTCATCCACGGTTTGTTCGTCCTTGCCGGCCGCGCGAATTATCGAGGATGTTTGCCCAGAGAGACGCTACCCCGTACGTGTACGCGTAGTTGAGGAAAAATGCGCGAGAGGGGAGTGCAGGCTACCTAGCGGCTGAATTCCGAGTTCATCGACACTTTCGAGCACGCGCGATAGATCCTGCTTTCACGTATTTATGCATCGCCATATCCGTGTGTCTGAAATCACTCGAGCAGCATCGAAATTGAGGTTAGGTATATATTATTCGATTATCCAATGTTTTTATCGTCTATCGGTATTCGTACCACTGATACGACCGAATGTAGGTAATTTCAACGAACCGTAGGTCGTTACATGCGATATCTTTCTAACCGAATCAGTAAAGTAGCGGTTAATTTAGAAGAAGTTATATTTATCCACTAACGTACTATACATTCGCAATGTGACTTATTTTTAACCGCGTTCGCGCAAAATATTTGGGCGTTTTGTAAAAATCGTAAATGGGATAATTTGATCGTCAATTCGATAAAATTCTCAGAAGGCCGATGTAAAACCGGTTTCCAGTGAACGACATGGCGTGAGACCATAAACGTTGCTTTTCGAACATCCTCCCTGGTGCATTGAAAATTCAACAAACAATTAAACAACATCGTGATAATCGTAAAAAAATGAGAACTATTTTCGTATAAATCGTGCGATTTCGTATTTTATAAAGTCATTATAAAATCGATTTGCGGCGAATCGATAAATCGTAAACATAAAAATGTACCTTCTATTTACAAACATCGACTAAAAAGAAAATTTCAGCGCTTTTAAAAATTTTTTAAATCTTAAACTGAAAGTTACATTCAGATGTTCCAGCAATTAAGATGTAGTGAAAATTTAGTCGAGCTATATATAGAGAATGCTTTTTGTAATTCCGGTACACTTTCTAATGTGGAAAGGATATTAGTAGAGAATAATGCCGTATCGACTTAATGGACTAATTTGCTCCGACGTTTTTGCTTTTTTTTTTTTTAAAGTGCATTCGTAATTCTACATAATTTTGCTTAAAGTCATAAAATTGAAAGCAATCATATAATTGCCGAGATGGTATCATAAAATTCAAGTGTTTATAGATGTCATGATACATATATAGTCTCACATGTAAATGCATCGTTAACCTTACTGACCAGCTGCAGATCGTATCGCATTGAACGATAGTATTTATCCTCGAATATCCCGTTGAATTTTCACTGCAACTACAGCACCAAATAAAAACATGTCAACTTCACCAACCACAAATTTCAAATTATCCGAATAATCGTATTATGCAATAGAATTTAACGAGGGATTATTAAAAATTTGATTACAAATTTCAGCACCATTTAAAAGTTCATTGTACGATTAATTTTCGTGCAAAAAGAAAAAAAAGTCTTATGAATCAGCGCGATAAATAAATATTTACTTGTTAAATAATACTTTTTATCGAATAATACGTGCGATCGATTGCACGCTATTTTATCAGCAGTCCTTTTTATGTACATAAGTTATAAACATCACGTTGAAAAAATACACTTATCTGAGTACACGAATCAGTTTATATTTAAAAGATTAATTGTTACATAATACAACAAGTATCTCTTATAAACTTCTTTTTTATTTAAAATTTATTTACATTTACACAGGATAATTTGCACATTTGTTAAAACAGATGAATCGATCATTCCCTAATCAAATTCGTACAATTCACGCGTCGTATCAATATTTGTATTTAGATTTCCTTTCTTCTTCACAAATTCCATAGTCGATGATTATTAATTTAAAAGCATATATTATTGTCACAGCTCGGTATCGTTGATTCGCGCTTTGTTTCATAGGTGAACACTTCACGAAGCACGTTTACTTTTTAGAAACGATCACAATAGACGTTAATTCGTCTCACCAGCACCGCAAATTTTTATACGAGAGAACACCCTACACTCGTTAAATTACACATCAAAGCTATTCCTACCTCATGCACGATACGAACACCGTACTCTCAGCTCTGCTTCATCGTCGCGTCTTCGAACGTTATCCCACGAACAATGGCCAACCAAAAAAGAGCGTTGCAACGCGAACGTCTAGCCAGATGTGGATACGCGACCGCGAACACGACGAACTCGCCAACGAAGCTATCCACGAGCTGAAATAGATGCTGCGATTGAAACGAAGCACAACCGACAGGTTAGGATATGTATGAAAAACCAGGGTCTCGACAATACAGTTGAATGTTCCGAAGCTGATTCCCCTTCCACCGACTCGTGGCTGCCACGCCATTATATCAAATGGCCGTCAACCAATCAGCGCTCGCCACTTCGGTAGATGACCAATGCATGCATCGGGCATTACCAACGTGCAATCGAAAAATATTTTAATTATGCAAAAAGACTCATGATCTCATTGTTCGTGCTGACTTTAATACTGGAGGGAAGAATTGACAATCGCGTACTATAGGAAAATTAACGAGTAGAATTTTAAATATTACGATAATTATTTTTATCGTATAAAATGAATTTATATTTTAGATAAAATAATACCGTTAGATTGAGAATGAAATTTGTAATTGTGATTTAATTTATCGGAAGTATCGAAACGAATGAATATTTTTCGTAAGGTTTTTAATGGATGTATTAATTACACCTATTTGCAAAAAGTAAGTTGAAATTTGATTAGCCGAGTATTTATAATTCTGGGTGAGTTTTTTCTTCCGTAAATGAAGGTCGAAGATGAGTGACCTTCCCAACACCGCGATTACCTTGTTATAAATTTCTAAAATATATTGCATTTGTCTAGTTCGTTCCACTTAAGGCATATAATTATTGTTTTATTATGCATTTAATTATACCATTTTTTTTATTTTTTAAAGAAAGTTATAAATATGATAAAACGATAATTAGTTTGGACAATTTTATAGAATTGGTGTCTTCTTATTATTTCCTGTTATTAACGTTCATTTTATAATGAAGCTTGGAAATAAATGTAAATGACGTATCTTTTTTACCATTAAAAAGTACGAACAAGAACCTGTAACATAACAAGATGTTATGAGAACTTGCTCCGTGTACTTGTTATTATAATTTTTCTTTTTTCCCTTTTTTTTTGTTTTTGTTTTTTGTAAAAATAGGATAGAACAAAAAATGACGCTGCTTAATAGCTTTAAAATAATCGATAAAGGAAAAGTAAATAATTTTACACATCCCTTTGCATGCGTGTGAAATGTCGATAAACAAATATCTACAAAATTTACAGTGAAACGTTATTACCGTCATATTTAATATTTACTATAAAAATCGTCAATTTTAATAAATCTTGCATAATACTCGCGTAACAAATACATTTCGGTAGTTCGATTGCTAAAATCGACAACTTTTTACAGAGAAGAATATTTTTCTAATATTAATTTTAATTAAAACAAATATTTATATTCTGTAATATTTGTTTTTATTTATCAAAGTAATATCGATAATTATATTTAAAAAACTCTTAGATTTAAAAACAGGATCTTCATAGCACCTCGACACTAGTTTAGAAACTTTCGGTGGCGCTAGAAAGACAGTTGGCAGCAGTGTTGTCTCGCGGGGCACGGCTCGGCGAGTATCGGCCGCTCAGTCAAGAAACTCGACTGCATCGAATCACTACGAACGAGGTTAAAATTGTAAGAGCCAGGAGCGCGCTGCTCTCTCCAGCTATCAGCTCTGCCTAAACGGCAGTGGCTCTCTTGCCGAATCAGTGTGCCGTGAGTTGTTCCGGGCGAGAGGATTAAATGCGGTAATTTCACGTATCGGATCGTGGTGTTCCCGAATTCTCGCGGGTTAAAGGACGAGGCAGACGGAACGGGGACGGCGAGAAATCACTGGTTTTTCTTTCCTCGGCGCAAGCACTCGGACGCGCGCCACTCCTGGACTCCTTTGCAGACATACACGTATTTATTAGTCCACTGCCAAAAACGGGCAGCCTGATGACAGTGATGAGTGTTTCTTTGCTTGTGTTCGTCATCGTGGCCGTTGTTCGAGGCTTACGTGACTGTGACCGTGACTGCTGTGCCGCCACCACCGTGATGTGCTTCGTAAACTCGGCCGACAAGGAGATGCTGTAAGTAGGATTTTTTCGTCACCTCTCCGTTTCTATTCCCCATCGTCTGCGAATTTGTAAGAGCTTGACTAGTTAACCCTGTGTGCCCATTACCGATAGCCTCTCCGTGCTTGTTTATGTGCCGCAGATGGTACGAAGGTCGGTCCGGAAATGGGTCGAAATCGTGATTTCCTATCGTAATCGTCTATCGTGCATAATGTTCTGCCCTCTTCTTTCGACACTCGCAGGAATTCCTTTCGATGCAACGGTGGGCTCGGATGTTCCTCTTATCGCGACGGTTTGCAACATTCGAGCTGTAAATATTTTCGAGGATAGCAAGCAGGCCACTGGCGTTTCGAAATAGGAGACGTTCGTACCGTAACGAAAAAATGGCAGTAGCTTCTTTCCTGGTGAGAAATCCTCGGGTATCGATTCGCAGGAATATATTCGTCGCAAGAATTTATTCGCGGCCGAACGAAAGTCGGCAGCGTAACGAGGCCGTTGCTCTCCGGCCGATAATGCACAATTGCAGATGCGGATATTTTTCGCCGCAAGCACCCGTTGCCTCGTGTGTCCGGTCATATTTTTTTTTTCCCTCTTTTGCGAAAGATAACGAGAACGTTTAGCGGGGCAGTTTTTTCGATGTGGTCGCTGCGCAATAAAGACGGCTTGAGGCAACGCTAATATGGTGGCTCTGGCCGACGGAAACATCGAAAGTCCGACGAAAAGGGTTTTCGATCGCTCGTCCGACGCATTTCCCATTTCCGACCGTTCTCTCGAAGCCATAGATTTCTCGACGTGTCACGCTTGCCTGCGAGACGGCTACGTGTGTGTGCGTGTGCATACGTGTACGTTTCCACGGCGAGGCCGTCTCACTGCCTCCTTTGGTCGCCCGTTGAAAATGAAAACCGCGTACTCGGCCCGCCTCGAAATTGGTAATTCGAATATTTCCCCTGGAGCAGTTTCGATTTCGAAACTCGAGCTCTCGGAAGCCCGCTCTCGCCGTCCAAGCGTTCTAGCTTCTGTTCTTGGACAATGAAAACGCAATTAGTCATGCGTGAAATTGTTACGATTCTTCCGGTTGCAAATCGTTGTAAAGGTGATCGAATTATGATAATACACGGCCGTGATATCCATTACGATGAACCAGGAAAAGGAATATTTAAACGATAGGAAATTCCGTAACTGTAGTCACTTGCTGCACAGCGTATATCACTCGTACGTATGCATTTACAATTGTGCAACTGACTTCAGTAGTCGGTTTCGAATACTATTCCGTGGCCCGTCGAAAATAATTCCAATCGATGCGACCATTTTCGTATAATTTATTATAAAGATTCGGCGGGGAATACGGTTAAGAATCGGGATTTTAACGTTGTGTGAGGATCTCTATTGACTAGCTTAGTAGCGGAATCGTGTGATTTTTCAAACGGTACTCGACGGCTAGCGCGATGCACGTCACTTCGGAAATCTATGAAATTGATAGCCACTTACGTAACGCGGTATGCAGAATCGCGAGAGAATCCAGAGGCGATTAGACGCCATTTTTCACTGGCGTCCTTAACTCATTAAGCAAATAGGGAGTAACGGTTGTCCGTGTGTCTATGTGTTGCGTTAGTGACGTGTACCGTTCCGAGCAACAGATTTTCGATCCGCCATATTTTTCTTCGGAATATCGAGCTCCTCGAATCCCGTAATCGTATTTCTCCTTTAATTATCGTCTTTTTCAAACGGTGAGCATTCGAGTCGGTAATTTTTCGCGTTAACCTAAAAATACCTAGTTTTCTTCGCGAAATTTAATATCGCGAATATATTTGGCGCGTTATAAAAGGAAATTAATTTTTCTCAGAAAGTCTTTCATTTTGTACCGGTTATGGATTCCCGTCGTTTATTTAAATTTACGGGACACGGGATATTTATGGGGCCGTTGAAGATGCTCGAAAGGCGAGACATTTCACCCGAAATCGACGTCGTTCATAAATTTCAGCCCCCCTTTTGCCCCCCCCCCACCGCCTCTTGGACCGATATTAAACATCGATTCTACGTTTGCCGCGTTTCCACTAGACGTTATTTATCTCGCGATGTACCGGTCGCAATCGAGGCGAAATATTTCGCGACTTGTTCATTTTATAGGGGCGAAAAAATGGCGAAAAAGGGTAAATAGAACGCGGAATATCGACGTGGTGTGATTCTAGTTTCCTCGCGTCACTGCAAGTCATGAAAGTTGAACATATGTTGCGCTAATGGCCGCTGTGTGCGTAGGGCTATGCAAATAACGCTGCTTCTCAGTTAAATCGGCCATTAGAGGTACGGTACAGTTATATTTTTATTTACCTGCATATCGCGATGTAAAATTGGTTTACAGGCTCGCTTCGCTTTACAAGGAAGAATTTCTTGATATTATGCAAATATTCCACGCAGGGACGAAGAAGTTTGCGATATTGGTAGGAAAAGTCCTCGGGACATAAAATGGCGTGGAAATTGACACTGTTATTTCATCAAGTACAATCATTTCCTAAATTGTGATTCATGAAACGTACATTTACTCGAACTTTTAAAAATAAATATTTGACTTATTGAATATTATTAATGAAATATTTTTAATATTATTAATAATCGTCAAAAAGGGACTGCGAAGTTTTTATTTATTCGGGAAGTTTAATCGTAATATTTTTAATTACGTGCAATGTAGGAAATGCTAAGTAAGCCGGTTTTACCCTGACGAACGAGCTGTAAATGTAATTTAGGGGAATTATACCGTGGATAATATAACCGAAGGATCAGGGGCTGTACATTCTTTTTCGTCTTTCTAATCCGACTGTCATAATCCTCGAAATGTGTAGTTTTAAATTTAATTTTATTCTTCCTTCCCTTTATTACTATTTAAACGACTAGGGAATATTTTTATGATTCATTATTCGTATGGAAAAATCAAATATTTTTTCGTACCCTTATTTTTTTTTTTTTTTTTTTTTTTTTTT